TCTTCAGTCATACTAAATGTGAGCTATTTCTTTTTCCCTTGAAGCTTTCTGATTGTTACCCATTCCACAAATTCCCCTGTGACCTTTCTTAATTGTTTCCCAGGCTCAGTCTTTTTTATTAAAAAAAATACTGCCTATATTTTTACAGCAAGTTTTGGGGTTCAGCCTTAGCTCCAAGTCATCATTCTTAAGATCTCTTATAAAATGATTACTTATTTTAACACAAAATATTGGATGATTTTGAGGGTTTAAGAAGCCCACCAGTATATGCCACTAACCCAGGAGTATGGTTGACTTGGGCAAACTAGGCTAATTTAAATTTGTCTTCAACTTGTCCTTCCTGGTTCCCAGGCCTCTAACAATGGTGGAAATACAAATGTTTATTTTTAAAGCCTTGGAATGATTTAGTTGGCTTTCTTTAACAGTACTTTCCCCTACTTCTGAAATTGCAGCATCAGATAAGAGACTACTAGTACTAGTAAGAATATTACAAAGTCCAACCCCATGTTTTTTATATACTTCGTTAGAAGCCAGCGAGAGCCTGCATCTCTTGATAGAAGTATTTAAGTCACCTCTTTACTTAGTTCTCATTCCTAGAAGTACTCATATCAAGACCAGGACTCATACTGCCTGCTACCCAGGGCCAAGGAATGCTCTCAGACTCATTCACGAAACTCTTAAGATTCAGGAAAGGGCAAGGATGGGGTGTGGCTTTCCTGCTCTGGTATCTGCACGCAGGGAGTAAGTTCGGAGTAGAGTCAAAGAAAACTTTAAATCTTCCTCCAGCAGACAACTTCTAAATGATTTCCCTCTTGCTCAGCTGTTTCTAGGCACAAGTGAATACATAGAGATAATCCTTCCAAATAACATAAGGACTCATGATTGTCTCAAAGGTTTTCATCTGAAAATCACCTACACAGTCCAATGCAATTAGAGGCAGTGCTCTCAGCCCCCTCCTTTACAGAACAACCTATGCTGTTTTTTCTTCCAGAAAATATTTTAGATAGGTTTCAATAAAGCATTCATAAACAATAAGGCTGTTAAAATAGAAAATCAAACAGCATATCTAAGAGGAGTTTTTAAATAGCTACTGTAACTGCACATTAACTGTAATTCTGAACTTCCTGGCTGTGCGGAGAAAGAGAAAAAACAATGGGTTATATTGTTTGCAGTGCGGAAGAAAGGACACACTGCTGCCAGAGAAGCCCATTTTCTCCTTCGTTTTATGTTTAATGTGTCATGTCCTGTGAACCTGTATGCGCTTTATAGAGAAGGTAGAGAGCGACTTCATGGGGCATCGTCCATAGGGAAGTAAAATCTAGAAGCCCAAGAAAAAGAAAACAACAAACAAGCAAACAAATCCCCTGCATAACGGCAGGGAAACCACAGGGGTGAGGAAAACGGTAGAGCATATTCTGCAAAGACGATCTCCAGGCACCAGGAAGCATATGATGTGGATTTCCTTCAGATAAAGCATCTTTAATGTCACTTCTTAAATGCATGCAAGTGCAGGCTTTCATTTCCTTTGAATTAAAAAAGACAAACAATAATAGCTTTCACTTTCTGAGTGATGTACTTTAGAATTTCTGAGAAGACTGAAAAATTATAAAATGAAAGTATGCATAAGCCATATAGGACCAGAGAAATGTCTCAGTGCATAAAGTACTTGCCTTGTAAGTTTGAAGACCTGGGTTTGAGTACTCAAACACCAAGTAAAAGCTAGATGTGTCACATGAGCCTCTGTAATGTCAGCTCTCCTACGCAGAGATGAGAGGCAGAAACAAAAGAATTCCCAGAATTACCATGGCCCACCAACTTGGTGAATACAGCAGACAAAACAACAAAGAGATTGTCTCAAACAAAAAGGACACTGATGACTGACACCTGAGGTTAGACACACACTGTCACACACTCCCACACTCTCACACACACATACCCTTTCACACTCAATATACTCTCAAACACATGCACACACTCACACACACACTCACATACATACACTCTCATATACACAATCTCTCTCACACACACTGCCTCTCACACTCACACAAATACACTCAGGCACACAGACTGCCTCTCACACACTCATACACTTTCACACTCAACATACTCTCAAACACATGCACACGTTCAGATATACACATACACTATCTCACACACATACACTCTCACATACACATTCTCTCTCTCTCTCACACACACACACACACACATAAAAACACTCATGCATAGGGTTATTCTAAATTACAAGTCCCTGGATGTGCTTGAGTTAATGTGGAAATAATTCTCTTTTTTATTATTGTGGTTCGTGGCTGGAACCAAGTCTTGTCTGGTCTTTGTTTTTGAAAATGTAATAAAGTAAAGAACATCATTGTCCAGGATTCACTGAATCAGAAAAGGGCAGTGCTGAGTTTACAGTGGTCAGATTAGAATCATGATGCAGAGAAACATTTGGGGACCTGTCTGGATGCCCATAGAGCCTATAGCAGGCCAATACTCTCTAAAATATGACATCTCCAGGAGAACCGATTGGGATTTCTGTGTGATAGGAATGCATGATGTCCAGGGACTAACCCAATTCCCAGGGGCTCAAGCTTGAGTCCTTAGAAAAACAGTGACTAGACTTCCCCCAAATTTAACTTACCTGCTGTGTGGGAAACTTTTCTACAAATGTGTACCCTGTATAAAGCAAGGACTACAGCAGAGACAGCAGAAGACAAGCATGGATTTGGACTATGGTTTCCAAGTCTACAGTCTGCATCAAAAAGTCATTTAGCAAAAGGTACCATGGCAGATTTGCCAAGGCTAAATGCTAGAGAAAACAAAAAACCGTGAAAGTGGGTTGTGCTCTTCTTATTCTGATGCCTTTAAATGCTTCCCTTGTTTCTCACATAGTTTCTCTGTTTTTATTCAGAGGAGTCTTATTCCAATATTTCCTTAGGACTAAGGAGACGGCTTCGAGGGCTAAGTACCTGCAGCATGAGTGTGAAAACTTGAGTCCCCCGGAGCCCATACAAGCCACCATAATTCCAGTGCTCCCAAAGCAATATGGGAGACAAACACAGGGGGACGAATCCCTGGGAGATCGTGGGCTGCTAGCCTACTGCAGGCAGCAATGAACAAGAGATTCTGTCTCAAGCAAGGTAGAAGGCAAGGACTGATGCCCAGGATTGCCCTCTGCCCTCTGCCCTCTGCCCTCCAACTTAACACAAACGGGGGGGGGGGGGGGATTGAGTTTGAGTTTCATTTCAGTGCAATAGAAAAGGAGGAAGATAATTTTCTTTGTGGAAAGAAGCACCAGAATTGTATGAGAAAATAGTGGTGCATAAAGTATTTTGGTGGCCTGTCTGGTGGCCTGTCTGGTGGCCTGTCTGGTGGCCTGTCTGGAAGCTGATGGAGGCAGCAGCAGGTAAGTTCTCTCTGAAGACAACAGGAATGCTAGCTGCTGGGCATAAAGCCAGCTACTTTGTGGAGTATTGGTTTCTAGTAGCAGAAAGAAGGGAGTAAAGTAAAAGCTATACAGAATTCCAGGAGGAATAGTAAGATGATTCATTGGGTAAAGGGACTTGCCATACAAGCTTGGTGACCTGCGTTCGATCCCTGGGACCCACTTAAAGATAGTTGGAGAGGACTAAGCCCACAAAAATTCTTCTGACCTCCACCCCTCCACACACACACCACAAATACATTTTTAAAATAATAGAGGAAGAATTTCCAAAGGTAAGAGGCTAGGGGACATTTGCAGGAGCATAGGGTTTCATGGAGACAGCATATGGCCAATGAATATTATTAAGGGACAGAAATGAGTTTGTATTTCTTTTCCAAACATCATTGTCTTAAATCCAAACTGAAGTCAAATGTTTCTCTTCTGGTAAGATATAATATGTTCATTAGCTGTCAGCCCTCAGGACAACAGAAACACAGCGGTGTGTGGGGGAAGATGTGTTTGGCATTGGGAGTCACATTGGGTGTGGGGTAGAGAGGGGAGGGGTGAACAGAAGCAGAGGATCTGGGGGAGCAATAGGCCTTGATCAGACACGGGAAGTCACAACTGACAACTAGGGAAAGTCAAGACTTCAACAGTCCGAATATGGCCGGGCAGTGGTGGCGCACGCCTTTAATCCCAGCACTCGGGAGGCAGAGGCAGGCAGATCTCTGTGAGTTCAAGGCCAGGCTGGACCGACAGCCTCCAAAACAATACGGAGAAACCCTGTCTCGTAAAACCAAAAAAAAAAAAAAAAAAAAAAAAAAAGAGTCCGAATATGGTGGGTTCCTCTTACATACAGTCAAGCTGACCCAGAATTTAAAGGGGTTTCAGAGCAGGAGGATCTGGCTGTTCAGAAAGCAGCCTGGGCCTCATCAGGCCGTGGCTGTTAACTGTAAAGTGGGAAGGATACCACAAGGAGAACGAGGGGCTGCAGCCGCTGTTCCTCTGGTAAACAAGTAAGCTATTAATACTTACCAGTGGCTGTGGGTATGCCAGAAAAATAACCTCACATCAGTGGGCAGCCTCTCACACTGCTGTAGTGATTCAACTCACAGTAACACCACTAGGCAACTTTGGGATTTAACAGTTGCAAATTGATAATGCTCCCAAGTTTCCTGATACTCTCACTGAGAGGTGGGCAGGCCTCTGTTAAAGTGTGGATTGACCTAGGTCTTTTCTGCTTCGATAGACATGCAGTATCAGTTTCTTGGGCTAGGTCTTAAGATACTGGAAGATTTCATTCCTAGCTCCTTATCACTTTGTCTGGTAAGAAATTCAATGTCAAGCTGGTGTGGCGGTGGCACACACCTTTAATCCCAGCACTCAGGAGGCAGAGGCAGGTGGATCTCTGTGAGTTTAAGGCCAGCATGGTCTACATAGTGAGTTCCAGGACAGCCAGGGCTATTACACAGAGAAACCCTGTCTCAAACACACACACACACACACACACACACACACACACACACACACACACACACACCCCAAAAGTAAAAAACAAACAAAAAGAAAGAAATTCAGTGTCAGTGAACCTGTTTAATGGATAAAGACACTTGCTGCCTATTACCTGAGTTCAGTCTTTGGAACATATGTGACAGAAGGAGATAACTGGGTTTCATAAGCTGTTGCCTGACCTCTGCATGCATGCTGTTATACCCACCCATGTGCGTGGGTGCACACATACCCAGACACACGTGCATACATTGGGATATTTGACTTTTCTGGAAAGCAAATGATTCTACCTGAATTTTCTACCAATGAAATCATGGCAATAATAATGAAATAATGAAATAATTTTCTATTTTAAGCCACTACACTTTGAGGTAATTTTCTATATAGCAACACATAACTATATCATCATATTTAAAAGCTTTGATTTTCAAATTTGTTGTTTGATAGTTTCAAGACTAGGTTGTATGAATATAACTTTAGCATTAATTTATTTTTAAAACTCACATAATCAGACAGAGATCCATTTGAGGGGAAAGGAGAAACACGTGAAAGAAGGTGCATTTGGTGTCAAACACCAGCTCAGTTGTTAAGTTTACAAACGCAAGTGTGAAGGCGCATGTGTAAAGGGTCTGAGGTACAAGAGGGACTGAGCAGGGGCCAGCTTCCACCCCGCTGCCTCCCGCATCCCCTTCTCTTTGTATGTCACTGCTGTTTTAGAGGCAGGGGTGCAGACTATCATGGAGTTACAGTCAAAGAGACACTGGAGAGCAGAGGTGTGTCTCAGGATTAAAGTGTGTACTCAGCACCTGTGGGCAGTCCTGAGCTCACCCCCTGCACCAGAACGACAAGAAAAAAAAGTCAAAAATTAAAACTGTGCAGTTCAAATGTGTGTGCTGTGTATGTGATCTTAGAAAAATCCTTAAGGGCTACAGGACATAGCTCATTGGCAGTGTTTGCCTAGCATACAGGAAGGCTGGTTCCATCCCCCAGCATGGCATAAATACGCATGGTGGTGCGGGCCTTTAATCCCAGGTTTATTACTCCAAAGGTTTATTAGAAATTCAGGGCTACTCCAGCTACATGTAGTTCTGGGTTAGCCTGAACTACATGAGACCTCATTTTAAAAGACACAGAGAGAGAGAGAGATGAATCTTTATGAGTCCCAATTTTCTAAGCAAAATCTAGAAGATTAATTGAAATGATTTACAAGTATGGAACTCCATTCCTGAGGCAGCGTAAGTGTTCTTTAGCGGTTACTGTCTTCATTATGATCATGATTCATGTCAAGCTCAAATATAATATTATATTATGAGGTGAAGCATTTGTCTAATGATGCCTTGAGGGAAAAGAAAAAGACATAGAAACCATATGCTGTGCTTTCTAGGATGTGTTTCTTTTTTCCCTAAAACACGAAAAGATTCCTATGGGTGCCGGTAGACTCAACCGTGTAGAAACACCACTTCTCAAGGAGGTCAAAGCCAGCACTGAGCCCTCAGGAGTCCACTCAGAAGAGGACAGACAGCAATCTTCTTGTTTCCCTTGTTCTTCTTCCTTCTGTTGTTGTCTGTGGTAACCACAGTTATCTCAGCGTCCAGCACAGACCTGCAAAACCCATTGCTTTTCTTAACCAATGTAGTTCAGAAATCATGACAACTTGGTCTCAACAACAGAGTGCCATTTTTCTCTCCACAGGAAAACAGGAGCCAAATCAGAATGACAAGTGCAGACTCTGTAAAATCTTTCAGAAGGAATGAAACCCACAGTCAGCCCTTGGAATACAACCACCTGCTGCTTCCTGAAAGCTTAAGGAAGTTTGTTGCTGTCACAAATAAAACTGTTCTTCCTTCTCCAGGCCTGTGATTAGGCCCCAATGCATGTCCCTGCATTTAGGAATGAGTTTGGGGTCAATGTGGTACATGCTTTGCCCCATCTAGTTCAGTACTTGAGTTGGAAACCATCTGATCGGTAACATGGTGACCTGATTCCTTACTTGCTCTTCTAGAAGCATCCTTAGGATACTTGACACATGGTGGAAGACAGCAATACTCTCCAGGGATATAGAGGACTTCTCTTCAGCACCCAGGATCCTCTGTGAGAATGTTCAAATCCACAAATGCCTGAGTCAAATGGCAGCCCCAGAAATACTAACACAGTGGTAGTTTCTCACTCAATCCAGGTTCTCTTCCCCACTTCCCATAAGCCTGCTGTCTTCCATATCATTTCATATTCACAGTGACAGGCAAAGAATGTCTGAGGCACGAAGAGTCATGTTGGTGAACCACATTTGCCACCTTTAATATTTTGGAAATGCTGGAAGTTTCCATTCTCTCACCTGTAAAATGAAGACATCATAGAGATAAAATGAAGAAACATGAGTGAAGTTCTTAACACACAGTATAAATGTTAGCTGCAAATACAAATACAAATTAGGCATTATTACCTGAACTTGAAAAAGTCATTTATGTCACACCCCTAGCTGGGAATGGGGGAATAAGGACAGGACTTAGATTCAAAGCCAGGTCTCTATGACTTAAACCACAGGAGTGCTTGACTTTGGGCTCTGTTTTGGGATTTGCTGTGTTTTGCCAAGCTTTGATTCTACCAGCAGGAATAGAAAGCACCTCCAACAAGAATCTGCCAGTTAGCAGCTGGTTTTGATTTATTCTCTTGTTTACTTAACCGACTTAGTGTTTCCCTGTATCTTGATGGAATAGTAGTTGGGTGGCTCACAGAAGGGAGTGTTGTCACTTTAGTATGGGATAGTACATGGTCCATGAATTCTTTCTCAAGCTTCTTAGGAGATTAAGGCCAGGAAGAAAGAATGTGTCAAATACAAGAAAGAACTAGTTAGACATTATCTCATCCCACGTTAACTCTGTGAACCTAATTGCTGGGAGTCCTTAACTAGATAAAGACCAAGGGTCCACCCTGAATGCCATTTGAAAACAGCAAGAGAAAACGGTAGGAGAGGGTGCAGGTGTGACCTGGGAGCCAGCCTACTTGACACACTGCACTTCTAAATAAGAAGCATGACACTCCATGCTCCAGAAGCCACAGCAATGAACTCTGAAGTAGGGTGAGTAGCCAGCAGCTGGCCTGCAGATGAGTCTGCCCCCTCCTGTCTTCTTTAATGTGCTATTTCCACAAAGAGACCCTGGTGGTATGGTTGCTCACTGTCCAATGTGAGGTAATGTGCTAGCCAATCACAGTCAATAAGCTTTCACTATACAAGAGGTTGCATGTGTACAATAAAGCAGACGCTCTTTCCTGGCAATGTCTCCAGTGTGGTTTATCTCCACACCCTTTACCGACCCACGAGTATTGCTGTCTTGTCAGAGGATACCCCAGTAACAACAAGAAATATACATGAGTTAGAAACACCCAGATTATACTTTAAGGGATTTTTCAGGGGTTTAAAAATGTAGGAGAGCGGGCTCATAAGCAGCCTTCCAGGGCTCTTAAGTAGCTTCTAAACAATTCAACTGTGGGCCTTATCTTGCTCAGAGCTAATTCATAAAACAATGCTGCGAGATCTTAGTGACTGGCTCAGAGGCTAGTTGATGCTGCATGCCCATATCACCATTGTGGGAGTCAGGAAGAAAGCAGGGTTAGAGTGACAGCCATTCCCCGGCACCAAGAAGCAGCCTTGTATCAGTGCGAGTTAAGTTCCCCAAAGGTGTCTTTGGCAGATCTTACTATCCTAAGGCCAAATCATCTTGGGACAAGCTCCCATCTGTTTTTAAACCTACTGTGGATTGTGAAACTGGAGTCTCTGGTGATGACTTCCGAACCAGATGACAGAGACAAAGGGACTGAGTCACATGCATGCTGATGCCACCAGCAGCTTGGGCAGCTTACAGTGAGCTAGAAGAGGTCTTGAATAATCTAACAATCGAAGTGGGGGAGTGGGGAGGGGAGGGGTGGAGGGGCAGCTAACCTGGTCACCCAGGGTTGTTTTCTCACTCTGGCAGCTCCAGGAATATCATGGGGGACAGAAAGCACAAACTGCCCTGGGCTGGATGAGCAATCCCTCAGTCAGGCTCCGGTTCCAAAGCCTGAATGTGCCCAGAGATGCTCCTCTGACGGCATCTTCTCACTCCATTTCTGCCTCCAGAGGTCCTCTGCAGGTTTGGCATCCTGGTCTTGTACCTGTAGGAAGAAGACAGAGAAATGGACAAGACAAAATTGGGCCTCTTTCCCTCACCCCCCCATAAAAGCACTCCTCACCTTTGTTTCATCCTCCCTGCCCTACTGTATGCTTTTATAACTCAAGGGAGGCTGCAAAGAACCTGTCTTACTGTCTATGCACTGGTTGAGCTTGGTGGCTCAGGGAAGAAGCTCCGCTTGGCACTGGCTCTGTCGAGCCCTGGCTTGGAGCCCAGGTGCAGGGCAAACACTTTGTCGTCTTAGCAGGTTCTTGATCTTCGACTCTGCTGTGATTTAGAGGTAAAACCCCTGCCTCTGCCCACAGCCTAACACTCCACCTTGGTTCCTCTCTGCTCCACATACTGGGATCAGCAGGCTTATCTTGGAAAGACTCCTTGGAAAGATAAGTAAGTTTATCTTGGAAAGAGTCCAGCAGAGAATTCCGACCTCACCCCAACACCCTGACACAGTATACACAAGGAGCCATAGCTCCTGGTCCAGGAATCGTTTCTGTAGCCGTCACCCTGGGTGGCAAAGCTGACTGTCCAGATGGCTGAGATTGTATTTCAAGAACATGTCAATTTCTCCAGAGAACTCCAGTTTGCTGTAGAATTCCTGGTGCCATTGAGCCTTTGGAGATGAAGCTTTGAGGCTACAGGCAACTCTGGAAGCCAGAGCATGATTACATTGTTGAATAAAACCCAGAGACGACAACTTTAATTATTATGAAGATGCATCAGTCTTACACAATATTCAACATTAGTTAAATCCAGTTACAATCACCCAGAATCCAGCGATCTCCTTCAAAGCCATTTTCACAAGGTAGCAAATGAGCCATCTTGTAACCTCATCAAAAGAATGGAAAAGCCTTCTTGTGGTCAGCTGAGCCTCAAACCTGCTGTCAAGAGGGCAAGCTGGATATTGGATGGAGGGATCTGAGGGAGAGGAGGTGGGCCAGTGATTTTAGCTACATTTCTTTTTAAAAAATTACAATTCTTTATTATACTTGATTTAGTGTGTGTCTGTGTGTGTCTGTGTGTATATACTATGGCAAGAGTAGAAGTCAGAGAATGACTTATGGGACTCAGTTTTCTCCTTGACAATGGGACTGGACTCAGGCTATCAGGCTCAACAGCAGGTGCTTTTACCATCTAGGCCACTTCACTGACCTTAAAAGTTGACAATATCTAGTAAAGAGGATGCCAGGTTTACTATTTTCACAACTGTGAGTTACTCAGTGCAGACTCTTGGTGTACACAGTACTGCCATGCAGTCACTCCAGTGTCAATGCTGGGAGACTGCACATTATGGTTTCCTTTTAAAGAGGCTTTGAATAGTTAAAGTAGTGAAATCCTGGCTATGAAGAGCATGACTCTGCCCTAGGGCTGCCTCATCTGGGATTGAGAGCAGTGCTTTGTGCTCTAAGCAGTCACCAGGGAGCTTCCTCCTGGAAGAGAGTTTAGAGTTTACTTACATGGACTCTAGTGCTATGAAGGAGTTACTGCAGGTTCCCTAAAATGGACTTGGTTGCCTCTGCTCCTGAAGTTAGTAGATTCCTAGGATAATGTCGTAGGGATAATGAACTTGCTGGACAGCAAAGGAAGTAATCACACCTGAAGTTAGTGTGCTACGTTGATTTGCTGGCTCACTAGGAGTTGTCCTTGCTTTTTTTTTTTTTTGGTTTATGCAACTTTATTGAAGAAAAATAGATCAATTACTAGGAGAGCTATTAGTTGATCACTCATCCATTGACAACTTGCATCATTTATTCAGTGCTATATTAAACAGTATTAGAAGATAGATTAACTAATAGCTCCAAGCCTCCTAACAATTTAAATGAGAATTACAAAATGTTTTGAGACCCTTATTTTGGAAAGAGTGTTTGATTTCCAATTTCCATTCTCTGTAGAACAAGAACAGGTCATTCCTTTATTGACATGCATAAAGTACATCACATTTTCTGTTCTGCTGATGCTATAATTCAATACCAATTCTCCAGCCACATCAGTTATGAGCATAAAGTATATCATGTATCCTCAAATCTCTAACAGTGGAAGGCTTAAACAAGAATGGATGCGCTAGAATAATGCTGTTTCCTTTGATGTGACAGTGAGCATCCATCTCCCTCCCCCTCAGATGGCTTCTTCAGCATGTTAGAGCAGTGAGGATTGGTTTAGTCTCATAACCAAGTTAGAGTGAAGACATTGGCCACATAATACACATGCTCCAGTTTTTTAAAAAAATTCTGAATCTTGGGCAACTGTTCTCTTGTTAACTACTTTACTAAAAGCAGTTATTGTCCAAAGCTGGAAGAACTTAAGTCTTCTCAGATGAGCATGTGAATGAATGGAGGGAGGTAAACAAAAAATAAAATTAAAAAGATGAGGTCTGATAGGGGAGCAGCCGGATAAGAAAATCCAAAAAGGAACAGTAATTTAAAGTTTATTCCAGCTATAATGCAGGTTATTCTGACTTTAAGGTGGCATCACATGGCATACTTCTGAGTCCATTCCCGAGATATTCTGTTGTACTTATCTCTGTCTGTTTTATAGATCCATGCAGCCTCTGGCACTAGGGTGTCATCTGGGTTTGGATCACATAGCAGTGAACAAATGGATAAAAGAACTTCAGAAATAGTTAAAGCAGGAGACCACTGTGATCTTAAAATATCAAGACAAATGCTGCCATTACTGTTAATATTTGGATGATAAATTCTTGTTGTAAATGCAACCTTAGGTGGTTTGAAGGGTAGTCTGTAGGAAAATGAATTGTCAAAAAGAATACACCACCTTGATATGGGCTGTCATTAGGTCCTATAATTGTGGCTTGCCAATGAAACATGTCATCTCCAATGGACCTGCAGAACATTGTGCTGGAGGGTAACAGGCCAAATCACTAAGTTCCTTATTAATCCGTTTCAGCGCCATAGCCTGTTCTTTCGGCAGGCTCCTCACTATCCCGGCGGCGAGGAAGGATCATCTCTTCTTCTCACACTGGCTCTGCCAGACACAGGCGCAGAGGGGCTGGGGCCTCCCTCGAGCTGGCCTCGGCCTCCTCCCTGCGCGGCAGCTGGTGCCTCCCAGGCCCTACGGGGCTCACCCACACGGCACATATCCTTGTTTTTACTAACATCTAAAACTAGAGTGTTTGAAATCAAGAATAACTTCGGGTATATACATATGCATGTATGTATGTATACATGTCTGTGTATCTATGACCTAATTTTGAATAGACAACTACCAAAATGATAAATTTATCTTGTTCTAGACAAATTTTATAGGGCTGTTATTATAATATATAGTCCAGGCATAGTGGGAAAACAAGAAGTAAATTGGAGCTCCCATAAGCTTCCTCTTCTCTTTATAAATAGATGTAAGTAAAATGAATGTAAAGTATGGCTTCCTGTTTAGATGTTTTCTTCTAGTGTTATAAGTTCACTAGCAACTTCACAAGTTTATTGGGAATCAGTAGATTTGCCTCAAGAATGACTTCCACAAATAAATTGTTCTCTACTCTCTATTTTGAACACTTACCCTACAGAATACTTAATATCTGTACAGAAATACAGTTTAACTTATATTCTAAATGTATATATCAACAAAAACCAATACAGCCTAAGTACCTTCTTCATGTCACAAAAGTCAAACAAGATAGTACTAGTTCATTACTTTATATTGAGTTGCCACCTTGGATACCAAGAGACTAGATAAACTAAGATGACATCACTCTGACGAAATGCTACACCTTCAGCCCTTATCCTGTCCTGCCCTATTCTATCATCTGCTTGGGTAAACAAATAGATCCCCACCAGAGGAGATTTTCCTGAACAGGAGACTCTACCATAGTCAATATAAAGAGAACATCCCTTCTGCTTTACACGGACGTGGCCTGAAGAAGTGCAAACCTGGCCATCACCCACCTGCCTCCTGCTTCTCTCTGTTCCTGTCTTACAGAGCACACTGCTCTGCTCCTGCCCAGAGGGAGCCGATACTGGTTCCATTTGGAGGCATGCAGGCTGCCCTACATTGCATGAATTGCAACTAAAATCCAGCTAGATCTCTAACTAAATTTGTGGAGATTTTGTCTTTTGACAAAAACAGTAAGAACCCCAGAGCTCCTGATTGGTTGATGATAAGCAGAAAAGGAAATGAACTTGGGCTTCTACCTCTCATTTTCAGCCATGTATTGATTGGGTGGGGTTGTAAGCCCATAGTTTTCATTTTTTGAAAAATCGCAAGAACAACATTCAAATCCAGGATAACAAGAAAGAAAGGATGAAAGTAAACTCGGAGGCTTAGGGAGACTTAGTCCATGCAGATGCCTACACTCTCCCTGGTTTTTCTTTTAATCAAGCAAAAACATCTCTCCCAACTTGGAGTCTGACCCCAGCTCTTTATTCCGGTAATGGTCAGTCCTTGCGAATCCTGTGATTTTTTTCCTTTTTCTCTGAAAAACTTTGATCATTCACAATGACTACAAAACTTGTTTACTTTCCTGTGCCTGCTAAAACCATTGTCATCTTTTCGGAAATGGGCATTTTTGCTCATTTGTACATCACACAGATCTCTTGTGTTGACATCCAATGACAAACTTAAAAGTTTTGGGGCTGAAAGGCTCCTTCTTTCTTTACATTCCTCCTTACTCCTCTGGTGTTCTATGTTGACTTAAGAGCACCCAGATTTTAGACTAATAGCACCCATTGCTTCGGCTCAAATCCTAGAGGGCAGAAAAGACCTCTCTTTGACCAGAGACCTCCAGTAGCTCCTTTCCCAGTTCCAATTGAGGCCATCAGAATCTCCGTATTTAAGAAGATCTATCCTGTTCTTAATTTTTAAAAAATGTGTATGCATATATGTCTGTGTGTGGGTTTGTCCCAGTGTTCAGGTGCCCATGGAGGCCAGAAGAGGGCATTGGAGCTCTTGGAGATGGATTTACAGGTGGCTGTGAGCTGCCTGATGTGGGTGCTGGGAACCAGACTCAGGTCCTCAGCAAGAACAGCAAGT